GCTGACAGCAGTAGGAGGGGTGCTGAAAGGGAGAGCCAGAGAGCTGCGGTGCGGCTCCTTTTTTACCTCGCCGAGGAAAATGAACTCCCACAGCAAGCCCTGCTCTGCCAAAACAGCCCTGGCGCATCGCCTCCTTCAACGCCGACAACTTGAGATTTGATGCAGACGTCATTTTCACTTGACGAGAAGGATTCGTTTCCCTTTTTTATTGTTCTCCAAATGTTCATACGTGTCAATATTTGTGTTCAGCATGCCCGTGAACACCAGCAGATCACAGCAAAGTCTTCCTGCGCTGTTTCCTGCTGAACAACGAACCCAAATCTGCACCATCCCTAAAAACTGCAACGCCACTCAATTAGAGGGACTTCAATTCTGCTGTCCGCAAACAGACTACAGCTCCCATTTCCAAATCTAATTTACTTCTAGCAGGACAAGGCAGGTTGATCATTTGTTGTGAAACAAAGGGAAATGCTCTAAGAAATGAACTGTGTCCTGATGGAAACGCGCACACTGTTCCTATTCCTCAGAGCCCAAATTCTGCAGGTCACATGCAGCTGCAAGCCCCCCACAAGGCCAGGTCTTTCTAATGTTTAAAATTCTACAGTGAGCTGCATTTTTCCAATCACAGTTTCATGCACTTAATACACTCAGCCTCAAACCAGAGTTCAAGACCAGCCACCTCGATCAATACATATTCACGATTGAGAGAAACAAAAACAAGAAATGGGCATTCCAGTAGCTGGCATGGGCTCCTTGGAAAGAGGCTACCTGCAGTAAAATGAAGAGCTCTCTCTGAGTGTCCTCACCTAACCTACTACTCTGATACATTCAGCTCTGATGCCTTTGCATGCCTTTTGACCAACTAACACCTGCGGGATGGCAACTTGTGCTGTCTGAAACCAGTTTCTAACCCGCATGAGCTAATAGAGCCCTCGAGTCTCTCTGTGCCATACAGAACCAAACCTCAAATGTAGCAGCATAAGGAAACCTTACCTACTAGTCAGGAGAGGAAAATGAATAAAAACAAAGGCTGCAGAAATACAGGATTTGTTTCACTTTGCATAAGTGCGCCCTACTGAGTTCAGCAACATTCAGAAAGACTGCATTAACAGCCTCCACACAGAGACAGGTGAGAATAGCAAGGAGAGATGAACACTCAGCCTATGGGATTAATCTACCTTAACACACAGCCATTGCATCTGCTGTAATCATAAGATCCAGGGAGCAGGGCACCCACAAAAAGTATCTGTCTATGCTATTGCTCATGCAACATAACTAAACCAAACAAGCTACAACCAGACATGCTGGATTTGACTGCTGGCAGGAACACAAATGAGAAATGCTTCAGTAGCCAGGAAATATAAGGTACCACTAACATGGGCATACTGCTGAAATAAGCTGAAGCAAGGCATCCCTATGAAAGTTTATTTAGACATCGTTTGGAGGCAGTCTACATGTCACCATGAAATTAGATTAATATTGCTTCTACCGGACAGAAGTCTGAATACAGTGGGAGAAAAGGATTCTTTGGAAAAAAAAGTCCAGGGAAAGCAATAACACACTAATGCAACCTGCTCGGGGTAAAGACCACAGCAGTTCCAACAGACAACAGGCAATCCTGCTCAGATGCAGACCATCATACACACTGCTCCTTTCAACAATTTCCTGCCCAATCAAGAACCGTGTGCAAGAAGATGCGAGAATACACCAACATGTAACACTAACTAGCCTAGAAATTAACACTTTAAAAAAATCTTTTTTTTCCTTCTTCTTTTTTTTCTCCTGGTTGTCATTATTTCCTTTTTACAGTGCTATGTTACCTACCTGCTTGTCACTGAGTAGAGGCTAACTGACATACATATTTCTGCACTACATCATCAGATAGGACATTTCTAGCATGTGTATTCTGGTGCACCCTGGCAGAGATAGCCATTAAAATTATTGACCAAAAGCATGGAAAAGTTTCATAATTCAAAATGTCATCCCTTTAAGGCCTGGGGACCACACTTAACTATTCTCAATTTCTTTTTCAAGGCCTGAATAGGCCAGTACAGCTCCCTGCCACATTCCTAGTGATGTTCTTTCCTATTAACAGTTCACAACAACTGCTACCATTTAACAGCCTCTTTAATGGAGAGAACATAATAAATATAATTAATCCTAATTTCTTTTAAATACTGTTTACAGCAGTAGCATTTTTCTGCTTTGCTTTGATCTTATTTTTCTGTTTGGTTCACCTTTAGGTCCACTGTTTTACTATTTGTTGTATTTAATTTAGTACAAAAGTCCCTTCATTTACCAGCACATGTCACACAGTCTCTACTGCAGTGAAAAAATATAGTCATTATTGAGGTCCAAAAATACAACAAATAACCAACCACCCCTTCTGCCTCAAGGAAAGCAAGAAGTTACATAGTTCAGGATGCTCCTACCAATAAATGAAATATTTCCTCTTCAAGCTGATAATTTGCCCTGTTGTTACAAAACTATCAGACAACATAACTGTTTATGTAATCATTCCACTTCACTCAGCACTGGGGAGCAGAACTACTGCTCTGAACACCATATTTTAAATGGAGTCAGATAAAATGAACAAACTAACAGACCTGGGGAAACAATTTAAATGAAAGAACTTGGTATTTTTTATTTTCTAAGTCTACCAGAGGGTAACTGAGCAGTCCACATGGTAGCCATCTTGTCATGCATAAAAGACTGACAGGAAGGAAGAAGACCACACCAACCTCAGCTCCTGTGAAGCAGCCAACTGCTGCTGAAGGCTTCTTAGAGACAAATTCTGTCTGGTTTGGTGTGGGTAAACTTCATCTTCCTGAGGCACGGGGAGCACCAGCTAGCTTCCCTCATGGCTGCCTTTCAGGCCTGCCTTTCTTCTTCAGGGCAGCGAACTGCTCAAACGCCCCAGGGGAGAGGTACTTTGAGGGAGATCAGGAAGTCTACCAACCCAGGACCAAACAAGTAATGATTTGAAGACTCTAAAGGCCTCTGCAGGCTACTGAACAATGACTCAATCCATGAGGCTATAGGAAATCAAATGGACCGCTTGGATCCCACTGAGGAACTCACAGGGTGTCGCTGTCACCCCTCGGTGCCTGCAGGGCATCCACACCACCCCAACAGCCATCCCAAACATCACAAGGCTGCACAACAGCCTACAGTGCTGGCTCCATTAACACCACCAAATAAGGAAATAAATGTTCATACCCAGAGCAATTACGGTCTCATGCCTGTAATATCACCAAGCTTGTACCAAGATTTCCAAAATATGTAACGAGACAGTGCTCCAGCTGCAGCTTGTTTCCAACGCTATACCCAGTCCTTCCCTCCGCCTGCACCACAGTGCAGGAGGTTGTGGATGCCCCATCCCTGGATGCATTCAAGGCCAGACTGGATGTGGATCTGGGCAGCCTAGTCTAATGGTTGGTGATCCTGCACACAGCAGAGGGTTGAAATTAGATGACCATTGTGGTCCTTTTCAACCCAAGCCATTCTATTATTCTGTGATTCTGTGATTCTAATGGAGAAGCTGCTGTATGTCAGTCAGAAAATCCCCTTTTACATGCACAAAGTATGAGGCAATTGAAAACTCAAAAGCCAAAGTTAGCCTAAATTAACAGGAAGTACATGTGATGCTGTGATCTGGACCTGAGTGTTTTTTCGTATGACTTCCATTACAAAAACCAAAACTGAAGCAAAATAAAATGAAATAACATAAAAGCACATGTACAGCATTACTATTTTAAAACGTCTGATATCATAGCAGAAGTACAAGATCACTCACATGTTAAATTGGAGGTCAGAATGAAGAAAGGGAAGGGAATACACCCAACACCTGTCAGTTTTCTATTATCAATTAACTCCTGTGATCATACCATGTTTAATATTGCATGCGTTCAGTGCAAAAATTACAGATACACGCTGCTTGCAATTTCTATTATTAACAGCAACATAATTAACATAGATACTCCATAGCCAGTCACAACCAGAGCTCAAACAGCTTTTCGAGAGCTGTCATTATTGGCAGAACAACACCAATGGCAAGCACTGCTAGACACCTCATTCCATACACTACTTTCTCCATCAGACACTGACCAGTGGAGGGACCTATTGATCTGTGGCAAACAACTGTCAACCCTATCAGAAAGGAAATGGTTTAGCGAGCATGTGACAAATTGTCATTCTCCTAATATATGCAATGCTTGTTTCTGCTATCCCTGCATTAAGTAAAGCATTTCTGAAATAACAGTTTTAATCTTTTTAAAAGCAAATATTGAGGTAATACAATACCCTGACATATGACAGGAAATCATCACAGTAACAGCACTTCTCTTGCACCTGTAGGCCAGAATCACTATTGGGAAACTTTGAATTGTGGTTTAAAAACAGTTAAAAAACAGAAGATACAAAAAAACAAAATCAAAATTTGATTTTTGTGTCCATCGGTGACGGCAAAGTATTGAGAGAGGAATTCTGTCACTCTCTCTGAGATACCTAGGCACCACAGAATAGCAAGTAAAGCTATTTTAAATACATACCTCCAAAGCTCAGTGACCTACCAAATTAGTGCTGACCTTTGCACTAATAAAATATATACCATGACTGAAACAACTTTAATAGTCTCAATAGCGTGTGAAGACTATCTCACACACAAAACACAAAACATTTTTCAGAAATGGAAAAAAATTGGAAAACATTTTTAAAATCGCTTAAAATATTATGCTTTCTTTCTCAGAAACCACTTACAGTTCATACAATCGCAACCTCATTTCCTGCAGCACAAACTCCTCCACTTCCCTCCACATGACCACAACTTTCCAGATTCAGACACCCACAGAAAGCATGTTAGACAGCACTGCTGGTTCAGTGCTCTGTCTCAGCTCCCCTAGATATGATACAGCAGACCAGGTTTCTGAAGACACTGATTTTTGAGGTAACAGACATATTCCACATACATACACAGATGCACACGAAGAGCAGGTACTCACAGCTAAAGATGCCTGGAGGTGGATGCTCTGTTACAAGCAGACAGTTCTCTTCATCACTGTTATCCCCACAGTCATTCTGTTGGTTACAAATCAATGAACCAAGATACAAGCATTTACCACTGGCGCAGGTGAATTTGCACTCTGAAAGGCAAAAAGGAAATCAAAACAAAAATTGATGAGGAAATCAGTGTTTATCTTCTTCACTACCTAGAATGACTGATATTAAAAGTAATTGGTATTTTTCACATAGATGCTATCTTGGTGGATGGGTCTTTCACACTTCATCACCAAAGGAAATAATGCAGCATTTGTAAGCATTGCAAGTATGAATGATGTCTGACTATACGTGATAAATTTTAGATCACTAGAATCAATCCACTAATAAACCAGATTTGCCATTTTGAAAATTCAACTTATTTTAAAAAGACAAAAGATTTTTCTAGTTTACATTGCTTGCAGTTCACTTACTTACAACACAGACTGTATTCTCACCTATGTTTGTGTAGCAGTTTATGTATGTGGGGCAAGACAGCACTGTGAATAAACACAATCACTGTCCCATGTAAAAAAAAAAAAAAAAAAAAAAAAAGTCTTGCCCAATGTAAACAGCACCAGCTGTAAGGCAGTAGCTAGTCTGTAACCAGCAACAGTCCTGTCCAGACACAGACAATTATGCCTTAACTACCTTCCCAAAGCCAATCTGCCAGTCTCCCAGCTAATTACAGCCAAGCACTCACTGCCTGCACACTGAGCTCCCACATTTCAGTTTGCTTTTTTTTTAGAAGGAAACTCTAAAACCTCTATAAAGCATCTGGATGCTATATGCAGGCTCACTGTATTCCTTTACATTTCATTCACTGAAAACAAATGAATGGTTTGCTAAATATGGTTCAGTCACAAGGAAAAACTCCTCTGAGACCAGGTATTTAAACAAAAACAGCATTACTTCAAGCTCATTCTTAACTTCTCTCCCTCTTTCCTTTTGTGCAAAAGGACTGAGACTATCTAACTAATCTCACTGGACTGATCCCTATCTCTTAAAAGACCATGTCAAGGTAGAGCTTCTCACCCTCCCCTCCCACTCAATTTTTATGCTGACTTGAAAGCTACACACTTACCTGCTCTGGGTGACCAAGATGGACAACTGCCATCCTTGGCCTCCTGTGTACTGATAAAGATTCAGGAAGTTCCACCAGCGGTAACTTGTCATAGAAATTAGAGCCTAGCGCCTACTCATGGTGCATGCTTTTCTTTAACTTTCTGAGCCCAGTCAGACAAGACTTCAGTCTGACTTACTTGTCCTCAGTCTGAAATGGCAACAGCTCAGTATTTAAACATGGCATTATGTACTGAGATTGTCTACTTGGTCGATAATTAAAATTCCATTGCCCTTCAGCTAAACTGATCATTTAAATGTCACCTCTAGAACCAAAGCTTAATAGTAAGCATTTGAGATACAATTAAGAATTATTCACAGAAATATAAATACCATTATAAAACGCTTTTTCACTAGGCTTCTTCCAAAGATAAATACACTGCTGACATAGAATAGAGGACACATTGTATCTAGACAAATTATAGTTTAATGATTACACCTTTAGCATGTTGACAAATGCTGGCGATTGTCATTCTGAAGCAATGGCAAAGTAGGTGGAACTAAAACCAAGAAACACTCACAAGCCCTTTATTTAAAGTAGTACAATTCCCTGCAATCGAGGCTTCCCCAAGGCTGCAGTTTGGGCTGGCTGATTCTGCTTAAGAGAGATGATTTTTATCTTCAACTTTTGTTCATCTTAAGCAGCTTCAACAGGAGAGTTCCCACTAATCTTCACAGCACAAGGATTGGACTTGCTCTGAACTGAGAAGACAGGAGCTGTAATTTAAAAAGACCCTAAAACAGTTACCAAGGGATGACATTTGCACACCTGTATCTGATGTGCAACATAAGCATAGTGATCACTGGGGGGTGGGAGAAATAAATTGGGAAGGGGAATGAAATCATTTTTCACAGCATATTTGCTTTGTAACTAAGAGTGATTTGCAGGCCTCTCTCTGAAAACTTCACATCTCAAGTATTAATGACATCTTGCTATGCATACCAACAAGAAGTTGCTGCAGTAAAATATATGCATCAACATGTGCAACATGTTAAAATGCTACTTAAGAATATAAATAAAAGCTGTAATATGCTGTATAAGAAACACAAGCATTTCCTGTGCACTTAGAATATGTATTTGTACTGCACTTGGTCAAACTGCACTTAGAAATCAGTAAGTATTTTCCTAAGTAAAGTCCTCAAGATTTATGAAGTATTTAAACTATAGAGTCAACTGTTATACAAAGCATTTTTCCACATTCCTCATCCTCTTCAGCCTTGACAAAGAACTGAAAAGCCATTTAAGGCCTGGACCAAAGAGAGTAAGCCTTTGAAATCCAAGAAACTAAGAAGGCTATTAACACTTACTTTTGCAAAGGCACAGAAAAGATCCGTCTCAATACAATCTGATGATTACCACACTTAGGACTCATTTTTGCAAACTCACAAAGTAAGAAACTGGAACAAGGAAAGCATAAAGCCGTTTTGGAAGATTAGAAAAGTTAGCTTGAAAGGGTTCAAACTTTGCAGACATTTTAGATGGGCACACCAGAAAAGGCAGTGAAAACTACTATAAATTGCTGAGATGTTCTTAAAATTAGAGTAGCAACAGACATGCTGCTTCTGTTTGAAAGAGAAGTATCAAACACCATATTGCTTGAAGTTAGAACACATGGCATGTCACTTTGGCCCCATTTTTTAATTCTTTACTGTGTCTTCATGTTGAGCCCTAACATTAAGCCTTCCACATTCCCCTCATGACTGATATAAAATGCTCAAGCAAGATGTCGACTCAAAAGAAACTAAAGCTAAGAACTTTGATTCTATTTGCCACCAGTTTATATGGTCTTCATATACAACACATGAAGCATTAAATTTTTAGTAGCTCTGTTAAAGTGCTGTATTTTAACTAACATTATTGTAGGAGGACAATTGTAAGAATTTGTGATTTAAGCTTTTTTTTTTTCCCAGATATAAACTGCATTGAAATTTGGATTCAGTATTCCACAGCTACTTGCTTCTTCCTGTGACACAAATAGCACCATTATCAAAGTGAAAGAAAAAGAGTTATCAGACCTCTGCTGATGTCCCCACAGGGACTGGATGGTCACTCTCTATGCCATGGGAATTCTCTGTTGATTACAAAATGCTCCATCTCAAGCCATGCCATCATGCTGCACTGGGGTTGCCATCATGTTGCTGACTGGGATGGAGCAAACTTTCTCCAAAGATGAATCAAGCAAGTAAGTCTGTATGGCTGAGAGAGAAGATCCATTCCGAAAGAAGCCCAACAAGAAGATCATCATGGAATGGCTTAGAACTGGGAAAAGCTAAAATCTATGCATGCATGAGATACCAAAGAAGCCCAGAAGTACTTGTAAAGAGCAGTCTAAGCAAGCAGTGACAGCTGACATTACACACAGGACAGCACTTTCTATGTCCTAAGTCTAGAACTATCCAATGAAACCTTTCTAAGTATCTAAAAAAAGGACTTCTCTATACAATTATGGTTCATTGTGTCTTTCTTTATATTAAATTAGAGAAGGACCACTGATGTACAAGGGGCAGAAATACCACTGTTAACATCAATGATGACTTCATATGCTATCTAATAAAATTTAATACCTTATAGAGGACTCAGTAGTGCAAAACTTAACCTGCACAATCATGTTCTACTGAAGTCTGAAAGACATTTTTAAAAGAAAAATGCACTGTAGGAATGGAACAAATGAATTAAACAGATTATTCAATGAAAACATACAAAAACTTCCGAACAGGGAGCATACCTAACATGAGGTATTTGTGACCTGTGAACTGAAATTGAATACTTTAGAGTAGTTTGCATAGTAAATATATTCAAACAACGTGTGCTTTTTCTAAAAGTGGAATGAACTCTTTTTCCAGAGCAAGGCAAATCAAAGTCAGTTTGATGCAGATAGTAGGAAACAAATATTAAGAATATTGTCAAAGTTAGTAAAGAAACCTGCAGAGATCTGTACCAAAGTACAGGAGAGACCTCCAAACACTATTGTGGAAATCCAGACCAGTTCAGACTAGACCAATGTGCCTAATGACACACCAGAAATCTCTTATCAGTAGAAAGCCTTGCACTTGGCTTGTCTAGACAAGAGGAGGGGGAAGAGCTCCAGCTCTGAAAACAAGCCAGCACGATCCTTCTTTCACAAATAACATTTGAAAGCTATGCAGTTTTCCTCTCCATTTTCAAGTGGCAATTAGTGAAACATCAGTAGGTTGGTCAGCAAGGCTCTAACTACAGCTAAACTTGAAGCAGATGACAGCTATTGGAGGTTGAAAAACACAGCCCTCCTTATAATTACAGCTTACTACATTTGTAATTATGTCTGGAGCATAATTTGAAAATGTATCTTGCCAATATACTGATTCTTAAGTCTTAATAAACACACTTCTAGGTATAACTAGACTCTCTTGGAAAAAATGAATGCCAAGAATACTATGATGTACATATCCCATTTTTATGAACTCTATGTATCTAGTACCAACGGGCATATTGCTCATAAGTTTGAGGTAGATGCTCATTCGCATCTATGTACAAATATTCATTTGTATACGAATGAATGCATTCAGAATCATTAATTGTAGGTTCTCTTTCAGCTGCAACAGCAAGAGATGAATTTGCCTCATGATACAAAAAGAATTTTCTCATTAAGAGGCTTCTTTTCCTGTAAAATGCAAGATCTGCTATTGTATGTGACTATTTTACGCTTTCTGTGCCTATCCAACAAGATAATTTTATCCTTGCATTCAACTTAATTATTTTAGACTTCATTTACACTTGACTTCATACATATGAAGAGCATTCCTATTGTTTTGTCATCACACTTACTGTAGGGCATTTTTAATTATAGCTAAGTGCTGTTTGTTTTTCTAATGCAAGTCCAACCACAGGCCAAAAAAAAAAAAAAGCAATGAAGTGTCATATTGAAAAAATATGGTGTTTTAGACCACTGCTATGATGCATGTCACAGCTCCTTATTTAACAGGTCTGAGATTGTTATCTGACCCA